CTCCCTGGGAAAACACCCCGGTGATCTGCTTTTATAAAGATTACAGCCTAGAAAACCTTATGGGGCAGTTCTGCTCTGTCACATGGGGTTGCTAGAGTTGAAAATTGACTCTTTGGCACCTAACAGCAACAGCTGAAACTAGGTCCTTAAGTGACACATGTGGTTTGCACTTCACTAGTAGCACCATGCATCTGTCAGTTTGTCCTGCTGTGGTGGCTTGCATGTTGCTGTGATGCTGAAGCTATGCCACTGGTACTTCACATACCAGCAGGGTCACCCATGATGGACAGGTTTCAGAGGAGCTCCAGACCAAGACAGACTACAAAGAAGGACCTGGCTGTCTACTTCTGAAAAGATTGTCCACTGAAAACCTTATGAATAGCAGCAGAACATTGTCTGATACAGTGCTGGAATATGAGCCCCACAGGTTGGAAGGCACTCTGAATTATCACTGGGGAAGAGCTGCTTCCTCAAAATAGAGTCGACCTTAATGATATGGGTGGAGTAAAGCTTTTGGGACCTTCATTTGTTGATGTGGCACGACTCAAAATGAGAAGAAACAGCTGCAAACATCCATTAATGATCGGAATGTGAAATTTATGAAGTACGAATCTAGGAAAATTGGAAATCATTAGAAATGAAATGGAGCACATAAAGATCGATATCCTAGGCATTAGGTAACTGAGATGGACTGGTATTGGCCATTTTAAATCAGAAAATCATATCATCTACTATGCTGGGAATGACAAATTGAAGAGGAATGGCATCACATTCATCATCAAAAAGAACATTTCAAGATTGCTCCTGAAGTACAACACTGTCAGTGATAGGATAATATCCATATGCCTACAAGGAAGACCAGTTAATATGAGTATTATTCAAATTTACCCACCAATCACTACTGCCAAAGATCATGAAATTGAAGATTATTGCCAACTTCTGCAGTCTGAAAATGATCAAACATGCAGTGAAGATGCATTCATAATTACTAGTGATTGGAATGTAAAAGTTGGAAACAAAGATCAGTAGTTGGAAAATATGGCCTTGGTGATAGAAACAATGCCGGAGACCGCATGATAGAATTTTGCAAGACTAACGACTTCTTCATTGCAAATACCTTTTTTCAACAACATAAATGGCCACTATACACATAGACCTCACTGGATGGAAAACACAGGAATCAAATCAACTACATCTGTGGAAAGAGGTGATGGAAAAGCTCAATATCATCAGTCAGAACAAGGCCAGGGGCCAACTGTGGAACTGACCATCAATTGCACATATTCAAGTTCAAGTTGAAGGGGAAGAAGATTAAAACAAGTCCATAAGATCCAAAGTACAACCTTGAGTATACCCTACCTGAATTTAGAGACCATCTCAAGAATAGATTTAATGCATCGAACACTTATGATGGAACATCAGACGAGTTGTGGGAAGACATCAAGGACCTCATACATGAAGAAAGCAAAAGATCTTTTAAAAGACAGGAAAGAATAGACCAAAATGAATGTCAGAAAAGACTGAAATTTGCTCTTGAACGTAGAGTAGCTAAAGTGAATTGAAGAAATGATGATGTAAGAGAACTGAACAGAAGATTTCAAAGGGCAGCTTGAGAAGACAAAGTAAAGTATTATAATGAAGCATGCAAAGACCTGGAGTTAGAAAATCAAAAAGGAAGAACACGCTTGGCATTTCTCAAGCTGAAAGAACTGAAGAAATAAATTCAAGCTTTGAGTTGCAATTTTAAAGGATTCTGTGGGCAAGATACTGAACGACACAGGAAGCATCAAAAGAAGACAGAAGGAATACAGAGAGTCACTGTACCAAAAAGAATTGGTTGACTTCAACTATTTCAGGAGGTAGCATAGAATCAAGAACCGATGGTACTGAAGGAAGAAGTCCAAGCTGCACTGAAGGCAGTGGTGAAAAACAAGGCTCCAGGAGTTGACAGAATACCAACTGTAATGTTTTCACAAATGGATGCACACTTGTCTATGCCAGTAAATTTGGAAGACAGCTACCTGGCCAACCAACTGGAAGAGATCCATATTTGTGCCCATACCAAGGAAAGGTGATTCAACAGAATGCAGAAATTATTGAACAATATCATTAATATCACATACAAGTAAAATTTTGCTTAAGATCATACAAAAGCAGTTGTAGCAGTACATTGACAGGGAACTGCCAGAAATTCAAGCCGGATTCAGAAGAGGACATAGAACAAGGGATATCATGCTGATGTCGGGTGGATCTTGGCTGAAAGTAGAGAATACCAGAAAGATGTTTACCTGTATTTTATTGACTATGCAAAGGCATTTGACTGTGTGGCTTATAACAAATTATGGATAACACTGCAAAAAATGGGAATTCCAGAACACTTAATTGTTCTCATGTGGAACCTGTACATAGACCAAGAAGCAGTCATTCAAACAGAATAAGGGAATACTACATTGTTTAAAATCAGGCAAGGTTTGTGTCAGGGTTGTATCCTTTCACCATACTTATTCAATCTGTATGCTGAGCAAATAATCCAAGAAAATGGACTATATGAAGAACAACGCAGCATCAGGATTGGAAGAAGACTCATTAACAACCTGCAATATGTAGATGACACAATCTTGCCTGCGAAAATGAAGAGGACTTGAAACACTTACTGATGAAGATCAAAGACCACAGCCTTCAGTATGGATTGCACTTCAACATAAAGAAAACAAAAATCTTCACAACTTGATAAATAAGCAACATCGGGATAAATGGAGAAAACGTTGAAGTTGTCAAGGATTTCATTTTACTTGGATCCACAATCAACACCCATGGAAGCAGCAGTCAAGAAATCA